ACATCAGTGTGGATCCGCAGAGCTCAGAATAGTCACAGCTCTGGGATAAAAACAATTTCGCAGCCTATTTGTTTATATCACCCTATACCATCTGCCAGGTGGTGATAATTCAAAAATAGAATATCCAGGGTGAGGTGGATCCTTGAGACTATTCTGAGCTTTCTTAAGGCAGCGGGGAGGGTGAAGAGGGGAGAGGATTCTAGGATTCTGTGTGAGAGAAATCTGAAGAATCCATCTTTATTCCTCAACATTTTTGCATCATCCTTTTGATGCTCTGCAACCAAGTCTTCTACCTGTGTGATGTCTTTCCTGAGTCAACTGCATCAATACATTGCATTATTGGTTTGTTATTATTTGCCTCTTGTGCCTATGGGCATGCTTTGTGTGGGAGGGCAGGGGTCAATACTGCCTTACCTTTTCGATAAGCTTATGGACTTAAATGCTAGCTGCTGGATTCTTAAACTCTACCTTTTTGTATCTCAGCTCACCTCCGCTGTTTCTTTTTTCCACTCTGCTGGTGTTCATGTTAATTTGGGTCAAAACTAATTCAAGCGGATTAGCTGTTTCTTCTCTGGCTAAATGGTTAGAGAGACCCTAACATCTATATAAATAAAAATGGAATGTTCATTTGTGGAATTTGTGGCAGGAACGAGAGACAGGGCCTTCTCTGTGGTGGCCCCTCGGCTTTGGAACACCCTCCCTATAGAGGTACGATCAGCCTCTTCGCTGATGGTGTTTCGGAAGAGATTGAAAACATGGTTGTTTACACAAGCATTCGGTTAATCCGTTGCAATCGAATTTAGGTGACCAAAGGACAGGTAATCATGGACAACGAATTTTGGATTGTGATTTTAGTTCGAGATGCATAGGATTATTATTGGTGGCCCAATAATTGGTATTGTATGTGTTGTATGTTTTATATTGAAGATTGTCTTTTTTAATTGTTGTAAACCGCAATGAGTCGCCGATTTAGGCTGAGATATTAGCGGTATACAAGTGTATTAATAAAATAAATTAACATAACTCAAAAGTCACTGGACGAATGGACACCAAATTTGGACACAAGACACCTCTCAGGCCAACGAGTGACCATCACTCATAAAAACACTGAAAAACACAACAGAAGGGACTTAAAAAGCCAAAAATAAAAAATACATTACAATGCATGTGCAAAACCACACATATATACGCAAACATACATATATACACATATACACAAATATATACACACACATATATGCATATATACACACAGAAAACACATATACACAGAATGGGGGAAGGAAGGAAAGAGAGAAGGAAGGAAAGAAAGAAAGGTAGAGAAGGAAGGAAGGAGAGAAGGAAATAAAAAAGAGATGAAAAGAGACACAGACAGTGTTCAACAAGGATAGCTGCTAAAAACGCTGAGCTAATTGGGAGACGCCCTAGCACCTCCTGCGTGGGGAATTTGGCTATAAATCAGAGGCAGGAGCAGTCAGCTTTCACTGGTAACAACAACCCTGATACTGAGGAAGGAAGGAAGGAAGGGAGAGAAGGGAAGGAAGAGAGAAAGAGGAAAAGGAAGAAGGGAGGGAGGAGGGAGGGAGGGAGGGGAGGGAAGGAAGGAAGGAGAGGAGAAGAAGGAGAGGAAGGAAAGAGAGAGAAGGAAGGATGGAACCAAAGAGCAAAGGAAGGAGGAAAGAAACAGGTAGAGAAGGAAAAAAGAAGAAGGAGAAAGAAAAAGGGAGGAAGAGAAGGAAAAAGGAAAAGAGGGGAGGGAAGGAAGGGGGAGAGAGAGAGAAGGAATGGAAAAGAGCAAAGGAAGAAGGAGAAAGAACAGGTAAAGAAGGAAGAAAGAAGAAGGAAAGAAAAGAGAGAAGAAGGAAAAGGAGGGAAGGAGGAGAAAAAAGAGAAAAGAAAGGAGGGAGGAAGGAAGGAGGAAGGAAGGAAGGAAGAAAGGAAGGAAGGAGGAGAGGAAAGGAGGAGGAGAGAGGAGGAGAAGAAGGAAAAGAGAGAAGGAGGAAGAAAAGGTAGAGGAGGAGAAAGAAGAAGGAAAGAAAAGAAGGAAGAAGAAGAGGAGGGAAGGGAAAAGGAAGGAGAGAAGGAAAAAGAGAGAAAGAAGGGGAGGGAGAGAGGAGGAGGAGGAAGGAAGGAAGGAAGGGAGGAGGAAGAGGAAGGAAGGAGAGAGAGAGAGAGAAGGAAGAATGGAACAAAGAGCAAAGGAAGGGAGGAAAAAACAGGTAGAGAAGGAAGAAGAAGAAGGAAAAGAAAAGAGGGAAGAGGGAGGGAAGAAGGAGAGAAGGAACAAAAGAGGAAAGGAATCAAGGGGGGAGGGAGGGATGGAGGGATGGAGGAGGAGGGAAAGGAGGAGAGAAGAAGGAAGGAAGAATGGAAAAGAGAAGGAAGGGAAGGAAGAAAGGAAAAAAAGGAAGGAAGGAAAGAAAGAAGAGAGAAGAAGGAAGGAAGGAAGGAAGGAAGGAAGGAGAGAAAGAAGGAGAGGGAGAGAAGGAAGGAGAGGAAGGAAGAAGGAAGGAAGGAAGGAAGGAAGGAAGAGAGAGAGAGAGAGAGAAGAAGGAAGAAAGAGAAGGAAGGAAGGAGAAGAAGGAGAAGAAGAAGGAAAGAAGAAGAAAGAGGAAAGAGGAGGAGAAGGAGAGAAGAAAAAAGAGAAGAAGGAGGAAGAAGGAAGGAAGGAAGGAAGGAAGGAAAGAAGGAGGAAAGGAAGGAAGGAAGGAAGGAAGGAAAGAGAGAGAGAGAAGAGAGGAAGAGAAGGAAAACAAAGAGAAAGGGAAGGAGGAAAGAAACAGAGAGAAGAAAGAAGAAGGAAAGAAAGAAGAAAGAAGGAAGGGAGGAAGGAAGAGAGAAGGAACAAAAGAGAGAAAGAAGGAGGGAGGGAGAGAAGGAAGGAAGGAAGGAAGGAAGGAAGGAAGGAAGGAAGGAGAGAGAGAAGGAAGAATGGAACCAAAGAGCAGAGGGAGGGAGGAAAGAAACAGGTAGAGAAGGAAGAAAGAAGAAGGAAAAGAAAAAGAAGGAAAGAGGGAGGGACGGAAGGAGAGAAGGGACAAAAGAGGGAAAGAAGGAGGGAGGGAGGAAGGAAGGAAGGAGAGAGAGAGAGAGAAGGAAGAATGGAAACAAAGAGCAAAGGAAGGGAGGAAAGAAACAGGTAGAGAAGGAAGAAAGAAGAAGGAAAAGAAAAGAAGAGAAAGAAGGAAAGAGGGAGGGAAGGAAGGAAGGAGAGAAGGAACAAAAGAGAGAAAGAAGGAGGGAGGGAGAGAAGGAAGGAAGGAAGGAAGGAAGGAAGGAAGGAAGGAAGGAAGGAAAAGAGAGAGAGAAGGAAGAATGGAACCAAAGAGCAAAGGGAGGGAGGAAAAGAAACCCGGAGAGAAGGAAGAAAGAAGAAGGAAAAGAAAAAGAAGGAAAGAGGGAGGGACGGAAGGAGAGAAGGGACAAAAGAGGGGAAGAAGGAGGGAGGGAGGGAGGAAGGAAGGAGAGAGAGAGAGAGAAGGAAGAATGGAAACAAAGAGCAAAGGAAGGGAGGAAAGAAACAGGTAGAGAAGGAAGAAAGAAGAAGGAAAAGAAAAGAAGAGAAAGAAGGAAAGAGGGAGGGAAGGAAGGAGAGAAGGAACAAAAGAGAGAAAGAAGGAGGGAGGGAGAGAAGGAAGGAAGGAAGGAAGGAGAGAGACAGAGAGAGAGAGAGAGAGAAGGAAGAATGGAACCAAAGAGCAAAGGAAGGGAGGAAAGAAACAGGTAGAGAAGGAAGAAAGAAGAAGGAAAAGAAAAAGAGGGAAAGAAGGAAAGAGGGAGGGAAGGAGAGAAAGAAAGAAAGAAGGAGAGAAAGAGGGAGGGAAGGTTGGCCACAGCAACGCATGGCGGGTACAGCTAGTTTAACATGAACACCCAACAAACCATCATGCAGGTGAGTCTAATGTGGTGCTCCGCATTTTCTTGCATCTACCCCTTACTGTTTTCTGCAGATTAAACCATTGTATTTTAAATCTCCTCATTTCTAGTGTCTGGTTGGAAATAGCTACTAGAGATTTTGGAACACTGGGCCTCAACCATCTAACTTTAACAGGAGGGGGGAATGTTGAGCCCAGGTTCTGCTTCCAAGGGTTGCCAGACTCACAGGTAGGAGTGAAGCAGGACCACCGCCAGGCTGGTGATGCCCCGTGCCAACAGCGCTTCCAGCTCCCCTCGCAAGGCCCCCACGTCCAGGGGCTGCTCCACCACCAAGGACTCCCCCGTCAGACCTATGGGGACAACAAGGAGATGTTGGAGTTACATGTATTAGGAAAAAGATCGTCCTTAAGGCATGTAAAGAAGCAAGCTCACCAAGCGGTTGAAGATTATATTGCATTGAGTGCCATGAGTAATTACCGGAGGTGTCGACCACTGATAAGCTTTTGGCTATAAACTAGGATACTCAGAGGTGTTCTTTCCCTTTCACCATTGACCTCCTGCCATGACTGCCGGTTTGTATTTATTTATTATTATTTATTTACAGTATTTATATACCACTTTTCTCACCCTGAAGGGGACTCAAAGCGGTTTACGCATAGATAATGGCAAAAATTCAATGCCTTACAACTACAGTGGTAAAAGCACACTTTAAATATAAATCACATTAAAAACAATACATCAACAAATACCAAAACAGTTAATAAAACCATAAAACAATCTCATCAGTCGAGTCACCGTTCCAGTCCTTGTCCCACTAAAAGCTACATACATCTATTGTTAAAAGGCCTGGTCCCAGAACTATGATTTCAATTTTTTTTCCTAAAGGTCAAGGAGAGATGGAGTCGATCTTATTTCATTTGGGAGTGTGTTCCATAGGCAGGGGGCCACAGCCGAGAAGGCCCTGCTCCTCGTCCCCGCCAGCCGCATTTGCACTGTTGATGGGAGCAAGAGCAGGGCCTCCCCGGATGATCTTATATTGCAAGGTGGAACATAGGGGCAGATGCGTTTGGACAAGTAAGCTGGGCCCAAACCATATAGAGCTTTATAGGTCAAAACCAGCACTTTGAATTGGGCTCCAAGATGGACCGGCAGCCAGCGGAGCTGGCATAGCAGGGGGGTGGTATGCTCCCTATATGCCGCCCCAGTTAGTAATCTAGCTGCCACCCGTTGAACTAACTGAAGTTTCCGAACTGTCTTCAAAGGCAGCCCCACATAGAGCGCGTTGCAGTAATCTATTCGGGATGTAATCAGAGGTTTGTAAGTGTAAATTGTAACTATAAGAAAGAGTGAGCTGCTAAATGTTTATCTTAAAATGTTTATCTAAAGGAATCCGGTGGCACAATGGGTTAAACCCCTGTGCTGCTAAACTGCTGACCTGAAGGTCGGCAATTCAAATCTGCAAGACAGGGAAGTCCCCATCTCTCGGCTCCAGGTCCTGCCAACCTAGCAGTTTGAAAACATGCAAATGTGAGTAGATAAATAGATACTGCTTCGGTGGAAAAAGGCAAAGAGACGCTACAACCAGTTTGGCCAGCCACACAACTAGGAAGTGACAACACAGGCTCCTCGGCTTGAAAATGGAGAATGCACCTCTTCAGAGACAGAGATGAGCACTGCCTCCAGAAGCCGGAAATGAAAGGAGAAGCCTCTGCTTTTGTTTGTGTTTATGTGTCTCATTGAATATGATTGCGAAGGCACTGAATGTTTGCCTATGTATGTAGGTGCTGTAATCAGCTCTGAGGCTCTGAGGGGAGAAGGGTGGAATATAAATAAAGTGTGTTGTTGGTGGTGTTGTTGTTGTCATAATTTTATCTTAGCAGAGAGACAGTTGTCAAGCATGCTTTTGATTCTAAGCAAGCACAGAGGCAGGAGGGAAAAAGCAGACACATGTTTGCAGGTGAACTGCAGAGGTAGGAGAAGAATACAGCCGCAGTGGGTTTTGGGGGACGCCTCCTTGCACCCATAGGGGAAACCCACCGATCAGGCCCCATCACCCCCTTCCTCCTCACTTGTGGGGGGCTGCATGACCTCCCATGAAGCACCACCCTTCTTCCTCCTCCGTGGCTGGAAGCCCCACCTGTGACCTTCCGGGCCGAGCCAAAGAGCGGGCATCCCTCCCGGTGTAGGACCAGGCGCTCGTCCACTTCCACCACGGCCTCATAGAGCACCTCCGGCACCGACACCGCCTGCGGAATGGGGATAAATGGGAGATACGAGGTCAGAGAGGATGCCATGACACATAGAAGCATAGTCATACAGCTTGAAGGGACCCCAAGGGCCATCCACTCTACGTGGGGCTGCCTTTGAAGGCTGCCCGGAAGCTTCAATTAGTCCAACGTTCGGCAGCCAGGTTGCTCACTGGAATGGCGTCAACATCTCTTTGTTATGCCAACTCCACTGGCTGCCAATCAGCTTCCGAGCACAATTCAAAGTGCTGGTTTTAACCTCTAAAGTTCTAAACATTTCTGGCCCAGACTACATGTCCGAACGTATCTCCTGCTATGAATCATCACAAAGTTTAAGATATCTTGAGAAGCCCTGTTCTCAATCCCACTGCCATCGCAAACGCGATTGGTGGAGACAAGAGACAGGGCCTTCTCAACAGTGGCTCCCCGTCTGTGGAATTCCGTCCCAAAAGACATCAGACTGACCACCTCACTCCTGTCCTTCAGAAGGAAACTCAAGACTTGGCTGTGGGACCTTGCGTTTGGCTTATATGAAGAAGACATAAGCAATGTCGAAGTGACAACAAATTGATCCGGACCTGGATGTTAATTGGCATGTTTTAACAAGGACAAGAGGGATCCTCTCACCTCTGCAGGAGTCTACTGTATACCATGCAGCTGTGGACAAGTCTACATAGGGACAACCAAACGCAGCAACACAAATCCAGGAACATGGAAGGCACGGCAGACTACTTCAACCAGAGAAGTCAGCCATAGCAGAGCACCTGATGAACCAGCCTGGACACAGCAGATTATTTGAGAACACAGAAATGCTGGACCACTCTCACAACCACCATGTCAGACTACACAGAGAAGCCATTGAAATCCACAAGAAGCATGTGGACAATTTCAACAGAAAGGAAGAGACCATGAAAATGAACAAAATCTGGCTACCAGTATTCAAAAACTCAAAAATTACAACAGCAAAACAGCAGAGAGGAAACAACCAGGCACATCTTAACACCTCTCAACAAAAGATTTTCCCAGGCTCAGCCAGGCCTTCAAATGCTAATGAAGGTGGTAAGTTGAAACCTTCAACCTAGCTCCAACAGAGAAAAGCTCTTTGCCCCACCCCAGCCATTCCACAGATATATAAACCCTTTCCCCTCGTTCCAACAGACCTCACTACCTCTGAGAATGCTTGCCATAGATGCAGGCAAAACGTCAGGAGAAATGCCTCTAGAACATGGCCCTATAGCCCGAAAAAACCCACAAGAACCTAGTTTTAACAACTGTTTATTTAATGTTTTGTTTTAATGAATTTGTTGATTGTTCTTATCATTATGATGGCACTGAATGGTGTTTGCTGTGAGGCCGCCCTGAGTCCCCCCTCGGGGGTGAGAAGGGCGGGGTACAAGTATAGGAAATACATAAATAAATAATCAAGGCCACCCCCTTTCTCTTGGAGAACTAACACTCACGCCTGTGCCCTAAATGGCTTGTCCGTACATCCTGTCATTGCTCTCTTCCTTGTCAGTTTTATGACACTCCCCTTCCCCAAATGAACATTTGCCACACTCCGGGGCAGAGAGAGAGAGAGTTCCACTGCTGAACGGCTCTCACAGTCAGGAAGTTCTTCCTCATGTTCAGATGGAATCTCCTCCCTTGTAGTTTGAAGCCATTGTTCCATTGCATCCTAGTGTCGCACCTCAGAGTAGATTCACCTTGTTGAAAACACCAAACTGCACACAGCCAGAAGTCTCGATAGTTTATTAAAAAGTAAAAGATAAAAAGTTCTTAAAAGCAAAAGTAATGTTCTAAAAGATCAATACAAAACAACACTTTGAGGAATGATCCAAAAGAGCACCAGCAAAGCAAAAACCCATGAGAACATGACAAAGTCCTGAGACCATGAAAACAAGAACTGCAAGATAATCCAGACAAGCAAAATGCAAGCTTCTTGGTTAAACGAAAAGTTGCTCTGACAAAGGTTTGGTCCCAGACACACTGCTAAATACCCTTTGCAAAACATGAAGGTGTTTCTTTGGCCTCTGACCTCCTTCTTGTTAGCTATTCTCACACTCCTTCGAACTCTGAATTCCAAACGGTCAGCACGATCTAAGGTTCCCGGTTCGTCAAGGTCAGTCTGTTCATTAGTGTTATCCAGTTTGCCTTCCTGATCATTATCAGGCTGAGAACCGTCCTCCTTCTCTGAGTCAACCTGCACCTGTCTAGTTTCAGTATCAACAAGCTCATTTCTTGCTGTGGGAAACTGAACTTCCACACCCTGTTCCTCACTGAGTATAACAGGGACATTTTGAACCAGATTGTCAACCTGAATCCCATCATCCTCATCAGGGGCACTCTGTGGTTCCAGCTGAGTCACAATACCTAGTTTCCAGAGCAGCAGAAAACAAGCTTGCTCCCTCCTCCCTAGGACTTCCCCTCACATCTTGATCCCTGGCCCTCATAATGTCTCCTCTCAGCCTTCTCTTCTTCAGGCTAAATAATCCCATCTCTTTAAGCCGTTCCTCATAGGGCTTGTTCTCCAGACCCTTGATCCTTTGAGTTTCCCTCCTCTGGACACATTAGAGTCAACATCTCTCTTCAATTGTGGTGCCCAGAATTGGACACAGTGTGATTCCAGGTGTGGTCTAACCAAGGCAGATTAGAGCATGGGGAACATGACTTCCCTGGATCTAGGCACCATACTACTATCGATGAAGGCCAAAATCTCATTGGCTTTTTTTGCCGCTGCATCACATGGTTGGCTCATGTTTAACTTGTTGTCCACGAGGACTCCCAGATATTTTCCCCACATCCTGCTGTCGAGCCAGGCATCATCGTCCCCCATTCTGTATCTTTGCATTTCATTTTTTCTGCTTAAGTGGAGTCTCTTGCCTTTGTCCCCGTTGAACTTCATTGTGTTAAGTTTTGGCCCATCTTCTCTCTCAGCTGTTGAGATCCCTTTGGATTCTGCTCCTGTCTTCTGGAGTCTTGGCTCTCCCTCCCAATTTGGTGTCATCTGCAAACCTGGTGATCCTGCCTTCTATTTATTTGTTTGTTTGTTTATTTATTTACTTCTGGTATTTCTACCCCGTCTCTTCTCTACCCCCGAAGGGGGACTCAGGAGGATGGCTTACATTTAGTAACGGAACAGTGCCGCTACATAACAATTACAATAATATCATATAACCACACTTAAATACGAAGCAATAATTAAAACAGTGCATACAACATTAATTAAAAACAGGAAAACAGTATCATCAGCCGCGTCCCCATTCCAGTCAATGTCCAACTAAAGTGCTAATTATGTCTGCTGACTGAAAACCTGGTCCCAAAACCACAATTTTAATTTCTTCCTAAAGGCCAGGAGGGATAGAGCCGATCGTATTTCATTTGGGAGCGCATTCCACAGGCGGGGGGCCACAACCAAGAAGGCCCTGTCCCTCGTCCCCGCCATCTAAGTCATTCATCAAGATCCTGAATAGGACCAGACCTGGAACGGAACCCTGCAGCACCAATTAGAGATCCAACTTGCTGATTGAAAGGTCACAGGTTTGAATCCGGGGAGCAGGGTGAGCTCCCACTGTTAGCCCCAGCTCCTGCCAACCTAGCAATTCGAAAACATGCAAATTTGAGTAGATCAATAGGTACCACTCCGGCAGGAATATAAAGGCACTCGATGAAGTCATGCCAGTGCCCATATGAACTTGGAGATGTCTACGGACAACGCCGGCTCTTTGGCTTAGAAATGGAGATGTGCACCAGAGTCCCAGAGTTGGACACGAGTGGACTTAATGTCAGGGGGAAACCTTGACCTTTACTTTACCTAGACTTGTGAGAAGGACAGGATTTTAAGTGGGGTTTTCTAATGACTGCGAATCCCATATGTCCTGATTAGCTAGAGGCTTTGTTTACCAAAACTGTGGATGCTTAGAAAAGCGGACACAGGAAGGTGATCATCTTCAAGGATAACTCTGCAAGCTAGCTACAAGCTTGACCCTTCATTGCTTAACAACTACAGGCCAATCTCCAACCTCCCTTTCTGGGCAATGTGCTAGAGCTGGTGGTCGCCTCGCAGCTCCAGGGACTCCTCGGTGACACCGATTTTCTGGATCGTTTCCCATATTTTCCCCATATTTTCTTTTTAATGATAGGACCAATTAGGGCAGCAGTTCTCAACCTGGGGGTCGCGACCCCTGGAGGGGTCGTGCGGTCATTTTCAGGGGTCGCGAAGTTGCCTTGGCTGGCCAAATGGCCAAATGGCACTCCTCCTCCTGCTCTTCCCACAGACCTGTGGGTAGTCAGGAGGCAAAGTCACAGGGGAAGAAAGTTCACCCTCTGTTCAGGCCTGCAAGGTGAGTAAACTTCTTCCTGCCGTCCTCAATGCCTGGCCATCTGTGAAGCCTTCAACGCCAAACTCAGAAGGGGGCGAGGGATGGGCGGAGAGTGTTCTCTGTGCCAAGTTTGAGTCCATTCCATGGTTGCATAAGTTCAAAATGCTTTTGGATGAGAGAGAACTATATATCCCAGCAACTCCCAAATGTCAGGAAAATAACCCCAAAACCCCAAATTTCTGTTGGTTATGGGAGTTCTGTATGCCAAGCTTCTTTAATAACATTTTGTTGGAGTTTAGAATGCTCTCTGATGGCAGAGGAACTATAAATCCCAGCTACCTATCTGACCGCATCTCTGCCTATGAACCCACCAGGACTTTGAGATCTTCCGGGGAGGCCCTGCTCTCGATCCCGCCTGCTTCTCAAGCACGGCTGGCGGGGACGAGAGATAGGGCCTTCTCGGTGGTGGCTCCTCGGCTGTGGAACGCCCTTCCTACGGACATTAGACTAGCACCATCTCTAATGGTATTCCGCAAAAAGGTGAAGACCTGGATGTTTGTGCAGGCGTTTGAGTAATTTAGTGCAATCTGGTAATGGAACATAGGAATGGAACAATGGACGACGAACCTGGACTACGCTTGGATGATGAGAAGATTGGGTACGGTTGTTTTTTGTAATAAT